AAAAGTAAAAGTACTGAGTAAAAGTGAGCAGTTAGATTTTCCAAAATGACATTTATTGGGAGGTGACTTCTCAAAAAACATTTTTCTAACAACATGCAGCTGTGATGGGTTGTGTACAAGCTAACGGTGTCAGAATGTTATATATTTATACTTCTCATCCAACCACAATTAAATTCACTCTGTCCAGGAGACACAATTTATCAGGATAGTATTTTTTTAAGTACTAACAACTCAGAACAAAATAGGAGTAACGACTTTCTATTTCTTACCTTTTTAAAAAAATGTAGTGAGTAGAAAGTACAGATTAATGACTAAAAGTAAAAAGTAAGCTGAAAAAAAATTACTCAAGTAAAGTACAGATAACCAAATTTTTTACTTAAGTACAGTAACAAAGTATTTGTACTTAGTTACTTTACAACTCTGACACTGCCACTTCAGTGTGTTTTCAAACAATGCTTTTGTGGCGGGGTGCTCTTTGGGGCGGGAKCTCGGCTGCAGACAGAGCTCCAAGGAGGAGCTTTGTTCAAATAGGCGGAGCTTTGTTCAAATAGGCGGAGCTTTGTACCAAAGCGTTTAAGCAGCTCCACATGGTTACCACAGAAGATTCAAGGATTTCTCAAACATTCACGAATGAGTCAAAGCAACACTCAGGGTATGTTTTTGATGAGGGAATGACAAAGCTAAAAAAAAGTCCATTTTGCGTAATACTGTACCCCCTCCCCTTTAATATATTGTATTTGCCTTTTATTCTCAACAGCAAAACACACGTCAGGTTCAAGACACCTTAAAACTCAGAGAAACTGAGAAGAGACACAAAATAAATACAGCACCAAGGTTAGATTTTACTTGCACAAGGGAGACAGCCTCTCTGTAACACAGCGGCTTCCGTCTCCGAAGGTACAAACCTCCTCACAACATTTATTAACACAAAACAAAAACGGGAGGTAACAAGTTCCACATCTTTCTGTGGCATGAGCAGTCATGTGATTTATCAGCTGTCTGCAGCACAAGGACATCCACTCAAAGTAACATTTTCTGTTAGCACAACTTGAAAACAAAAAGCAAGAACTATTTTTCTCCGTCAGAACATGTGTAAAAATACTTAAAGAAGATCAAAACAAAAGTAATATCAGGAAAAATCTAATAATAAGAAAAGCATTATTATATACATTTTTCTATTAACACATCATGTCGTTTTTTAAAATTCTTGAATTTAAATATATTTCTACTATATTTAAAAGTCAAACCCTCCCAACAGACAGTCTTATTTTATGCAGACCTGTAATGTGACATGGCACTGCGCTCCCAGATTTCCCCTGTGAATTACAGCGACAAGCATGAGATTTGACTTGATACTTGCCTGAAGTGACTGCCATTTAATTGAACCTTGGTTGCCTAAAATGGTACAAGACAACCCATTTCTACAAGAGGGCATGCTGATGAAGCATTCAGAGGGAGTCATTCAGTACTTTATTTCACTTCTTTTAAGGAGGATAAAAATAGGAAGATGACTCAACTTCACGAACAACTTTTCTCTAACAATCGGCTCGTGAAGGGAATCGAAAACATTCCCTCCTGTGGTTTATTGTGTTCTTGTTTTGTTTTTTGTTTTTTTACTGAAATATGATTTGTGATGGCAGGTCGTCTCATATTCGATAACTTGAAGAAGTCCATCGCTTACACGCTGACCAGCAACATCCCGGAGATCTCCCCGTTCCTCCTCTTCATCATCGCCAGTGTTCCTCTTCCTCTGGGAACCGTCACCATCCTCTGCATCGACCTGGGCACTGACATGGTGAGCAGCAGGGAAACCAGTCCTAAAAAAAATGTAAAGAGTGCATCCACATTTCATACCAGACAGGGGCGTGTCTAGAATTATTTTTGATGGGGGGGCTGTAGATAGGCGGCACAATAAAGTTTTTATTTTATCTAAAGTCCTTGCAGTTTTACATTGCAGTGAACGCTACGCTAATAACTAATCTTTTCATTTACCCAAATATAACACATGGATGTGTTTTGCACGCTGTCTGTTCAAAATCTGGGAAATCCAGAACAAAAACAAAAAATTTGGATCCACCACAGTCACAGTAAAGCAGAATTACAAGAGTTTCTGTATATTATTTAAAATACATGAAGGATTATGACAGCCTATACGTCTGTTCTTGTGGGAACAAAATGACAGCTCTGGTGGGAGTGGCCAGGCAGGGTGGCCAATCAGATTTTAAGGATAGCCAGTGTCTTCCCAGCCACCCCTGTGGCCACGCCCCTGATGCCAGAGTTTTGTTTTAATATCCTCTTATTTTAAGAAATGATACACTGCAAAAACTCACATCCAGCCAAAAAGTTATTTTAAACTTGTTTTGAGAATGATAAACTCTGCAAAAACTTTAATCTTATTAAACTGGAATTGTTTTTTTAGTTTAAGAAGTCTTACCAAGTGCAGTTATCTGACTGCACTGACAGATTATTTCATTTGATTGAAGAAGATTCAGACTATGATCTAATTTTTTTAACTTAATTTTCGATGGCTATTTGTTTGCAGTGTAGCTATTACCTCACCAAAGTTCATCTCAATGCTTGTATAACTGAAAGCTGATTAAGCTGATAGTTCAGTGAGTGCTTGGAGCATGAGATAGAGATGGAGCTGTTGTAGCCATTTTTGTGTTTGGTAAAGTCACTTAGCTTTGGCAGTCATATATATATAT